TCTATCATTACAGGTTTTGTGTCTAGATGCCTGAATTTTCAAAGAATCAAAGAAGAACATTGAGCTTCTATTGGACTCTTCCAGCCTATTGAATTTCTTCAGTGGAAATAGGATCAAATAACTATGGAATTTGTAAGTGGTCTACCTTGTTCACCAAGAAAGTGTGATATTGTCTGAGTAATTGTAGATCACTTCACTAAATCAGCTAATTTCATCCCTATTCTAATGAGTTGTAGTTTAGATACTCTAGTCGAATTGTACATTCGTGAAGTAATTTGATAACACGGGGTCCCTAATTCAATCATTTACAATCAATATCCTCGATTCACAACTCGATTTTGGAAATCCTTGCTACGAGCCCTTGACACTAAAGTGGAACTAAGGACTACCTTTCATCATCAAAGTGATGTCCAATCTGAGAGAGTAATAAAAGTACTCGAAGACATGCTTAGAGCTTGCGTTATCAATTTCAGAAAGAACTCGAATAAATATATACCCCTTGTAGAATTCGCCTATAACAGTAGTTATCAAGCTTCGATTCAAATGGCTCCTTTCGAGGCTTTGTATGGAAGAAAATGTAGAACACCTCTACGTTGGTCCGAATTGGGTGAAAACAAAGTCCTTGGGCCTCAATTGATCAAGGATACTAAAGAACAAGTTTGAATTATTCATGATCGGTTGAAGAATGCCTTTGATAGGAAAAAGTCCTATGCATATTTGAAAGGAAGAGACATCCAATATGATGTAAGAGATGAGGTCTTTCTCAAAGTATCTCCCTGGAAGAAAGTTTTTAGGTTTGGAAAAAGAGGAAAGCTCAGCACTCGATTCATCGGACCATTCGATGTTGCTGAAAGAATTGGTTTAGTGGCCTATCGGCTATCACTCCCTAAAGAATTAAAAAAAGATTCATAATGTTTTCAATGTGTCATTGCTCCAGAAGTACCGATCAAATCCAACACACATTCTTGAACCTGAAGAAGTTGAATTAAACCCAGACATGTCCTAGGAAGAGGAAGCAATTCAAATTATTGAAAGATAAGTCAAGCTACTTTGAAACAAGAACATTCCTTTGGTGAAAGTCTTGTAGAGAAATCATAATATGGAAGAAGCGACCTAGCAACCAGAATATACCATGAGAAAGAAATATCCTTATCTGTTTAATCCATGTAAGAATTTGAGGATGAATTCTCTTGTAAGGGGGGAGAATTGTAACACCCTGAAATCCTAGTCTAGAAGAATTAAACTAGTTTTTTGCCTAGAATGAAAATCAAATTTAATTGAATTAAGTTTTAAACTAATTGAATTACATAGGATAAATTGAATTGCCTAAGTAAAAACCAAGTTGAATTGAAAATTAAATTAATTACATTGAAAGATGACCTAATCAAATTGTTTAGGATAATTATTAAGTTGAATTAAACTTGGATTAATTGAATTAAACAAGGACCTAATTAAAAAGAGTAAAAGAGTATTAACCTAAATTATAGTGATCAAGCTGAATTAAAGTGCAAATATTATTATTGCATGCTAAAACTTAAAATTCATATAATTGCCTTTGAATAGTTGGTTACTTAAGTACTAAAGGAGGATAGTTTGGACAATTCCACATCCATTAAGGATGAAATAATATCTTCCTTCCCATCTCATTTGGTGATCGACATAAGAAAGAAAAATTAGAGATAATTAAGAAAGAAAAGATGACGAGAATACAAAGAAGGAGATCGACAATGCAAGTTTAGTTCAATCTTGAATTAACTATGGAAATTACATAGCCTAACAAGTTTTTCCTTCTCTACTTCCATTAGAAATTTTATGGATTTAATTGAGTTAATTCTTTAAAATTATCGATAAGCTTGATTATTGAATAAATTCAAATTGTTAGCTTGCATGATACTTGATATTTTGGTGATCGTGTTGAGTTAAATTTAAGTGATAAAGAACCTTGTTAAGTTGAGCAAATTATGGGTTATCACCTTAAGGGTGATAACCGAAATAATTGTTCATGCATGTGACCAAATTAAGAAATTTGAAAGGTTGTGTAATAAATTGGTAAAGTATATGTAGGATAATTTACTGAAGATTTAAGCTTTAAACAAGAGCGAATGCTGTAAAATTTTAAAAGTTTTTCCTTAGAGTAAAATTAGTCACAATTGTTGCTATAGATCAATTAAGGACTGTTTTGAACATGTTAAGGAAATTCGGGATCAAATTGGACATAATTAAATATTGGTAATGCTACCTAAAATTAGGGTAGAAACTGAAAAGAATGTAAAATAAATTGTAAGGCTTAATTTAGAGAGGAATTGGTGGTTTGTAAATGGTATATTAGCAAAATAGGTAAAACTAGAATGTTTTGGAAAATCTGTTAATTGGAATATTAAAGGATAAGTTTGATATGAAAATAAAAGGAAAGGATAAAAATAAGAAATGTTAAGAAGAGCTAAAACAAATTGATAAGGATTCTAGCTGAATTAGTTCACCAAGTGCATCGAATTGCAAGAGTGATAGATTGGTCACTGGAAAATTGTCTAACTTCAAATGCAAAACTATAATTGTATATAAGAAATTAAAATGCAGTCCATACATAGTTGGAAATATAATTGAATTAGCTTTCTAAGGGTATAAATAAATCAAAAATCCGATGAGTAAATTAAAAGTTATGTACTACAAGGTGTATAATCTGCCAGAACAGAATCTGTTTAGTGTCAAATATCTTAATTTAGCTTAAATTACTATTGTATTGATTCTAATAACTTCCGTATGTTGTGTATAATATTCTAGAGCAAGGAATTGATGAAGTGGATGAAGGAATTAAGGGAGGGTCCACAAAATATAAGCAAAAAGGAATAGTACTTCTAGGATAAAATAGAGTATTGTGAGTGTAACTATACTAAGGTTGGGAATTAGGTCCCAACCACCCTTTATTTTTATTTCTATGTTCAATTGTTTATGAAATCAGTATGCTAATGCTGAAATCAAGTCATATTGGAACTTAAAATTAAAGGAAAGAAAGATTAATTAAAGGCTATAAGTTATTGAGTGCCATACGAAATTAATTGGTAAATTAGTTATTTCCTGTTGCCTTGATTTAAATTGAATTGGATTATGAGTTAATATATGTTACCATGATTGAATTGAATTGAATTATGAATTATTGCATGTTATCATGATCAAATCAAGTTGAATGGTAAATTATTGCATGCTGCCATGATTGAATTGAATTGAATTACGAATTATTGCATGTTGCCCTGATCGAATCAAGTTGAATGGTGAATTATTGCATGCTGCCATGATTAAATTGAATCAAATTGTGAGCTATTGTATGTTTTCATCATTGAATTGAATCGAATTATGAATTAGTACATACTGCCAAGATCAAACTCGATTGAATGAAATCTTGAATGAACAAATTGTTGTTTGTTGCCATGATCAATTTAGAATTAAATGAATAACCTTGACATGGAATAATCCTTGATGGCTATGTTATGAAAAAGAAAAATAATGATTTCTTGGAAAATAAGATTCAATGTCCTTGATTAATAGTTAGTCCAAGATATAAGGGCATGCCTTATAGTATAGAGCTCAATTGTGTATGGGGGACTATGGTCCAACACTAAGATGCTTATTGACGAAAGACAAAATGTACGTTATGTGGTATTTGGAGAAAGTAAGAGGGTTGACCAACACTACAGTGCAATCAAAGTGTATGGCGATAGTTTGTTGGAGACTTGTTTATCTAGACTGAACTAGAAAACAATAATTAAATTAATCGATAAGATTGAATCAAAAGAGTGCTTGTATCTGCATGAATTATTCAAATAGAATTGCTATATAGATTGAATTGCTTGATTCGAAGTACCATGTAGATTATGTGTTGCATATATGGTGAATTATGTATTGATCGAATAGAAGAAGAATTGAAATGTTTAATTGGTTGGTTTAGTTGATTGTTAAATTAAATGTATATGATTATGTACTCTCTCCATGTTCGAAATTAAAGCTAGACCAGGTAGATATTTTAAATTGAATGCTATATTATTAGAGTATTTAGTAATTACATGAAATCAAAATATTAGTTGATTATGGAAATCGTTAAATGGTAAAGACTCAATGAAATCAAGTGTTACCTCACTAATTACTTTAAGTACTTATCACTCTTGTTCCTTTCTATCCCAAACCACATGTTCTAGATTATTTGAAGCTCAACCTCCATAGCTAATCAACCCAAAGGAAGATTTCAAGTATAGCTTGTTTTGTTACCCTTATATTAGTTGGTGGCTTAGCTTTGAGTATAGTGGTTCAAATCTCATGCATATGATGGGTATATAAGTTGTTTATGAAATGTACCTAAGAAGCTAATGAAATAGTATAGTCTATGGAGTTAATGGACCTCTAATGTATATAACGTCAATGACTCATTTGGAATGTATATAGCTTATTAATGTGTCATTTGGTAAAATCCATTAAGGGTCTCTTTTGTAATGTAAATACATAAGTTGGTTATGAAATGATGTTATAGTATGTTAAGTTCATTAAATTCCTGGATATGCATGTGGTTTTATATTAGTAATCGATATAATGAATTACAAATTGGAATTAAATGCAATTACCTTAGCTAAATTGGAATTCATGGTTTATCGAATTAATTTATAAGTAAATTGATTGAGATTTGATTAATCTTGAATTTGAAAAAAATGGCTCTTCAATTGTTATGTTCGTTGCATATGTCTGATTCAAGATTTAATGATCTTGTACTTGCTTAATGATCTCAGTAATGCTCCTAATCCTTGATCCGAGTTAAAGAGTGTTACAATGAAAGTATACGATTCATTTGTACAGCAAGAGGTTCCCGAGCAAGTATTGAAGCTAAAGTTGTTTCCATACTCCCTTTGTAACAAAGCTAAGGTATGGCCAACTCGTTGTTGTCTGGAGCTATAGCATCATGAAAAGAGCTTGCACAAAAGTTTTTGTTACGATTTAATCCTCCCAACATGAATGCGTGAATGAGGAATGACATCGCATCTTTCAAGCAATTAGAGGATTAAAATTTTGTATGAAGCTTGGGAGCGATTTAAAGATTTGTTGCACAAATGCCCTATGCATGGTTTCTGACATTGGACATAAATGAAAATATTCTACAATGGTCTTAACATGCAAACAAGGATGGTTGTATGTCTCTGCCAATGGAGCATTACTAGACAAGTCTTACAATCAAGCCTACAACATTCTTGAAATGATCTCCAACAATGACTACCAATATCCTAACACAAGGAATATGCTAGCTAGACGTAATGCTACATCAGTGGATAATGATGCTATCAATAAAATGGCCTCACAGATTACATCATTGACTAATATGTGATGAAAAATGAAACAACCTGAAGGTATGTATGAAGTTAAATCAACATCCATTATTACTTGTGTCCATTGTGTTTACAATAATAATTTTGAGGAATGTCTTGAAAATCCCAATTCATGTATTTCAATAGGAGATACAATTGAAATGAAAATTTCTACACCTATGAGAACACCTACAATTCGAACTTTAAGAATAATTTTGATCTATCATGGGGAAGTCTGGATATATCCTACTCTAATGAGGTGTTGCAAACAAATTTTTAGAATACACAACCACAACCTCAATCACATTAAAAGTATACACAACAACAATCGATGTTGCCATATCAAAAGATGCATCATCAAGCAATGCAACCACAACAATGCAATAACCAGTAGAGCTATCAAGAGCAAACTTTCAATCAAGATTCAACATTGAAATTATTTGAGTCTCTACTGATTGAGTACATTTCAAGGAATGATATTATCATTCAAAGTCAGACAACATCGTTGAGAACATTGGAGAATTGAATGAGACTGTTGGCTAATGTGGTGAACACCATACTGCAAGAAGCATTTCCAAGTGACATTAAAGTTACTTGTAACCAACACTAAAAAGACGTCACAACGAGAAGTGGACTCCAACTTGGGAAGAATGATGAGCATAAAAAGAAAGAGGATAAGAGACCTAAACCGTAAATAAAAGGTAAAGAGCTAGAAGTAGTGATTGATTCACCCAACATTGATGTTGTGACAAAGGATTTTGGCCAGTGCAACAATTCTATGCCATTTTCACCAATAATGCTAACAAAACTACCACCTGCGATGTCACCAGAATTACCGCTGCAACCAAAAAGGGAGATCACAACCTCCATTCCGTCAACGATTCTAAAACACCAAGGAGGACCAGTAATTCAAGAATTCCCTTAATGTGCTGAGATAATTAATAATCAACATCCCATTGATTTATGCTTTAGAACAAATGTCGAACTATGTGAAATTCATTAAATAAGTGTTTTCTAACAAGCATATAATTGGCGAGTTCGAAACTATTGCACTTATTAAAGTGTGTAGTGCCATTGTGACGAGCAGATTTCCCCTAAAGTTGAACGATATAGGGAGATATATTATTCTTTACACTATTGGCAATCAACTCATTGCTAGAGCATTGTTAGATTTGAGTTCTAGAATTAACTTAATATCTTTCTCTATTTTCAGGAAATTTGGGATTGAAGCAACACGCAAAAATGTTGCATTACAATTTGTTGACTAATCCATTGTTCATCCTAAAAGCAAAATCAAAATGTGCTAGTACAAGTAGACAAATTCATATTTCCAACATGCTTCATTGTATTGGAATGTGTACCCAGCAAGGCTATGCCAATAATATTGGCCATACCTTTCCTTTCTACAACACAAACACATGTTGATGTGCTCAAGGAAGAAATCATAATGCGTTTAAATGACTAGCAGATTACATTCAGTATTTTGCAAAACAATGAAAGTGTTAAATGTTATGTTATTGGCATTATCGAGGTAACAAAGCAAACACACATGAATGAATATTGGAGCATGTGTAATGGGAAAATGATGAAACACTATGGTGGAAATATACCACAAAGCATTACCTCGATTTGGTTCTATGAACTCAAGCCCTACTAGTTTATATTTTTATTTTATTTTATTTTATTTTATTTTTTAGATTTCGTTATTTTATTAGTTTTATTCATGTTTCCACATTGCTCGTCGCACCATCAACCATCACATGTTTTCTTTGCTTTACAATATCAGCTAAATTTACTGATAGTCATTGTTGCAACATCATTAGCCAACAAGAAAAAAATTATACAGCTGAAATAGAATACATAAGAAAAGAAGACCCACCCAATTTTTCCCAGCCTAAGAAACACTCTTTAAGGGATTAATGTTTGCTTCTCCCATTTTCTTTTATTCACTTTTTTATTGTTTTCATGTTGCATGCATTGAGGACAATCCACATCTTAGGTTTGGGGGTGTGTTGTCCATTTGTATTGTTTATATTGTGTCATTAATTTATGTTGTTCATATTTGCATTTTTCATATTACATTTGTTTGTTTGATGTGTGCACTGTTTTTCATATTGTTCATACCTTTAGGATATTGCATATATAATGTTGTATTCATAATGCTTCTAGATTAATGAAGTTTTTTAATGAATTTTTTATGATGCTCAACGATGGAAAATTAACTTTGAAATGTCATGGGAATGTTTTAGATACTTGTAGACATTAGAAATTTTAAACTTTAAATCTTACATCTTTATTAGATGCTATAGCAATCTGTTGTAAAAAAAACATAATTGCTATAGGTGCCCAACTTGCTCTAGCTAAATAAATTGATCATGAGGACTTTTAGCTCTAAGACACTCCGCTGGTAAGACAAGTCTAGTACACTTAGTGAATACTAAGTAGGAAACATAGTCTCGAATAGCATGATAAATGAAAGTCTTCACAGAATGACTCTACCTAAAAGGCTAGGGGGTTTGTTATTGACAACATCTTACTGCTCAAGTATTAGAAGGTAGTTGTGATGACCTAAAGTCGTGATTAAGCTAAATAGTAATCGTGATAAAATGGAATAGCCTACAACTGACTCCAACATTAGTTATATGTTGGAAGGGTTGCTACAACATTGAAATCCAATAACAAAGTATGAACATTTTTTCTAATTTAGAAAAGTATTGATTGGATACACTTTTCTTGCATATTATTGCACTCTTTGGATTCTAAATTTGATAAATTGACATTACATTCCCTAGTTACAGATAATTTGATGCTATCACTTCTTTGGCATCAATAAAAAGTTTTAGAGATCAAAAATGGAACATTAAAAATCTAACTTGGTTTGGTAGCTTTATTCTACAACATTATTGTTTAGAAGTGGTTAAATTTCATGCATGTTGTCGCTTGAGGACAAGTAAATACTTAGGTTTGAGGGTGTGATAACTCTCCAAATAAGTTATCTTTTAGGATCTTTTTACTTATGTTAAGCTTAAACTTTAGCATCATTATGATCATTTTAGGTTTATTTTATCATATTTTACATCATTTTCACTTTTGGAGTAAGTTTATATATTTCGTGATATTTATGATATTTTGATGTAATTTTGTACGTTAATGTTGTTACACTATCTATTCTATAGACGTTGTTGTGAGACGATGTTGTACTGGATTGTTGAGTTGAATTTGCAGCAATTGATGACTCAACATGCAGTTATAAGAAAATTCTGGAATTAGAAAGTTGTCTAATACAATTGTAAAATGGCAGGAAAGTATAGGAAAATTCATATTTTTCCTATTGGTAGATGGTTTGAACTTTAGGGGTTATAAATAAAGCCTCTCTTCATACTTTTCATAACCTCCTTCAACTTTTTTTCATTTCCATTTTATTTTCTTCTTTCCTCCACCGAACTGGAGATTTAAATCTACTATGCGTGCAATAGCAACTGGAGCAGCAATGACGTGTAGTAGCAGTCACTATTTGGGGTTCAAGCTTTTTAGTGTCTTTACTTGAAAGAGGGAAGAACTTTGTTAAATTTTAATGATTTATTTTTATGGTGTTGTTTGGATTTGAATATAAGGTGTTTGAAGAAATGTTTGTGTTATGATCTTTGCTTGAAATGATATTTTTATGTGCTAGAACTTTATTTGATAGTTTTAGAGAAAGTATGTCAATCATTGAGGTTGCATGTTACTTATTGTATGTGAATCTTAAATATTTTTAGAGATGTCAATAATTGAGGTTACATTCTACTTATGTACAACATCTGTATTTGTGAAAGTGAATTTAAGTATATGGACATGTATGCTACCAATTATCGTTGCTTTATTAATGGCTTGATTGATGAAGTTAGTGAAATTTGATTTTTATTGGTTAAATGTTTAATTCATGATATGGGATTAATGTGTTAATCTTTGCAAGCCACATATGTCACAACGGGCCTTTGGGTGGTCATGGGTTCACGCCTGGACATGGAATCGTGATGGAGTCACCACCGATATATTAGATCTATGTCTTACTAAAGATTTGTCGGATCCAGGAGTCGTTTACGATAGGGGAATGATGAGCAACTCTGAATCACACTTTTGACACCATTCGATTACTCGGTTGCCTTAATTGTAAAAATTAAAATTTCAAATAAAAATTTAAATTCAATCCAAATTATCTTCCTTTGATGACCATTGAATTTCAATTAGAGCCCCTTTGAAAAAAAATAAATTTTAAGTTAATAATAATAATAAATAAATAATAAAATTAAATAGTAATAAATAAAAATCCTGTAAAATAAAAAAGGTAAATTAAGACTCCTATTTGTAAAAATAATATAAAAAGACTAAATTTAACTAAATCAAAATTTGATGGCCAATTTACAATAGCTGACCAAATCGAATTACACAAAGGCATTCCAGGGGTCGCTGGCGTGTTTTAAAAATCTTAAAATTATTGGGATGCGCCTCGTATTTAAAACACCCAAAACCCAATTTTTCACTCATTTCTCAATTCTCTCAAAGCATTCACCCTCCAAATTCTCTCAGCTATACTATCTTTTCTTACCACGGCCTCCTCGTCGGTCCATCATTGCTCCACTGCTCGTGGTGCTTGGAATCTTAAAACTACCCATGAAACACTCGTATCACCACCTTGAACCCCAACCTACCCCCGAAATTGACATGTAAAAAGTTATTTGATCCAAATCGAGCTGAAAAAGCCTCGACTATTTACTTTTTCACGG